TACATCTGTGGTGACTGAAACCAAGACCGAGGAGAAATCTGCCACTCCTGCCACCGTAGAGACCAAACCGGCTGCTCCGGTCGTTACAGAGACCAAGAAGGAAGAGAAAGCAACCGCCTCTGCTCCTGTAGAGACCAAACCGGCTGCTCCGGTAGCGGCAGAGACCAAGAAGGAAGACAAAGCAACAGCCTCTGCGCCTGTTGAGGCCAAACCGGTTGCTCCGGTAACCACGGAGACAAAGAAAGAAGAAGTCGTAACAATCGAGAAGGCTTTCGCAGCTGAACAAGAAGACGGAACCAAAAACGTTGAAGCAATCGAAGAATCAATCGTCTCAATAACACTTCCAGAGACAGCTGCATCCATAGAGCCAGAAGAAGTATCAATCTGGGGAATCCCACTTCTCGAGGACGAACGATCCGACGTGATCCTCCTCAAATTTCTCCGAGCACGCGACTTCAAGGTCAAAGAAGCCTTAACGATGCTAAAGAACACAGTCCAGTGGCGCAAAGACAACAACATCGACGAACTGATCGGAGAAGATCTCGAAGGAAGCGAGTTCGAGAAGATTGTGTTCACTCACGGAGTTGACAAACAAGGACATGTGGTGATATACAGCTCGTACGGAGAGTTTCAGAACAAGGAGATTTTCTCTGACAAAGAGAAGCTAAGCAAGTTCCTCAAATGGAGGATTCAGTTCCAAGAGAAATGTGTGAGGTCTCTTAACTTTAGCCCCGAGGCTAAGTCGTCGTTCGTGTTCGTCAGTGACTTTAGGAACGCTCCTGGGCTCGGTAAGAGAGCGTTGTGGCAGTTCATCAGACGTGCTGTCAAACAATTCGAAGACAATTATCCAGAGTTCGTCGCCAAAGAGGTAAAAAACATGCATTATCTGTGTTTAAACTCACTTCGACATTATCACAAACCACTAGGTTATGTTATGGTTAGTTAGGACCGAAACAAATAAGTTTTTTAATCTCTATACGAATTGTGGGGTAATTTTTCAGCTGTTCATTAATGTCCCATGGTGGTACATTCCTTACTATAAAACATTCGGAAGTATCATCACTTCGCCAAGGACAAGGAGCAAAATGGTCCTTGCTGGTCCATCTAAATCCGCTGATACCATTTTCAAGTAATTCCATTTAAATTTTGTAATATATAAACTATATAATGTTACTCTTTTTTTTTTTTATGTTACTCTTCACAGTTCACACCCAAAAACTTATATCCTCTGTTTTTGGTTGAAACAGATACGTAGCTCCTGAAGTTGTCCCGGTTAAATACGGTGGACTAAGCAAAGAAAGCCCGTTCGCCGTTGAAGATGGAGTCACTGAGGCCTTCGTTAAATCCGGATCAAAATTTACTATTGATTTCCCTGCTTCCGAGGTATATATAGCATGTGT